ATGGTTACCGCCAAATCAGATACTTTAAAATGATTTTAATAACATGTAAAAATGTTGTTTTCATTTCTAGTGGTTCCATACCAGACTGTGCGGCGCATACGCGCTTCGCAATTTGGTTTTTTAAAACAGATAAGCAGCGCGATCGCTTGGAAAAATATTCAAAATTTTTTAACAATGTATGGAAGTTCCAACATTTTACCTTAAGACACGATGCCATGCAACACTAGTTTCAATTCCAAATCGCACCATTATAAAAACAGTTGATTAATTACCTTTCCTTAGGTATACGTCTCTCATCGTCTCTTGCCAATCTTTACTCAACGACTCAAACCGCATCAGGTGGCTGCGGCGAATGGTCGCTGCGTTTTACTGGTGTCCCTGTTCTACTGCATGACGCTGGAATATGCAGATCCAGGTCGGAACCTCGAGTTCAGCTGATCCTGGCAGAGCGAGGAACATGCTTTACCTTGTGGCGAGATACTGTCGATCATCTTTCTGATTATAGAGATGCTGGCCAGGTAATAAATGTAGATACTAATAAAAGTAAATTCGCAAGTTCACAAGGTTGAATTCCGCACTTGCAACAACTTTATATTATTAAAATAGCCCTGTTTATCACTGTGTTTGGCAGAGTCGTAGTTTGTTCATAAATTAATAAATTAATAAATTGTTTACATGGTAGTTGTAAGTTTAAATTTTTAGTTCAACAATAATGTTTTTTGTTGTTATTATATCTATTTTTGTTTTAATTTTGTGAAGGGTGTTTTATTTAACCTTTTAGTCTCTCCCCTTTTCTGAAAAGGGTCACGTTGAGGTTCCAACGATGGAGTTTACATTTTTCACGAGAAAATCCGATTTGTCAATTTTGTTTTTTTTTCGAGTTTTTAAGTCATTCTGAATCGTTTGACGCCGAAATTGAAAAATTATTGATGCGTGTATAAGTGTGTCTGTGTTGGTGAATCAAAACCGATCCTGAATCGATCGGAAAATTTGGCCATTTGAGAGATTGGTAAAGATCTGTTGGAGCTTTTTTTCGTAAGTAATTGTTGATATTTTTTGACGTTTTTGGTGAAACTTTGTATGATATTAAGTTCAGAGCATAACTAATGTCCTAAAATATCCTACAAAGTGTATGAACGAAAAATGTTTAATTTTAAAATTCATTTTAAAAATTCATTAAAGTTTGCAAGAATAGGACGCGATTTTTAATTTTAAGTTAAAGCATCTTGTTTAAGGAAATTGCCACTTACACCTAGTTTTATTTCTTATCTGTAATGTCACTCAAAAAAAAAATTCTTATGATTTCTAGGTGTCGCAATTATGTATTTAGCAGATTTTTATTCTTTGAACATTTGACTCAAATTTACATCAAACTTTTTAAAAATTTGAGAAACCAGCAATATTGGCAATTCTAGCAATAACTTCAACGTAAAAAACTCGAGTTTTTCGAGTAAAGATCTTTACTAGCTCTAAAAGAAATACTATAATATAATTATGTACTATCAATAAAACACTTTCAACCTAGATGTAAGTGGAAGTGGATTAATTAAGGCAACTTGCATATACATAGTTTCCGATATGTGTAAATAATCGACTTAATCAATAATAATTGTGATCAGCTATTTAGACAACATTTTGATCCATTTATTTTGAAAATAAAGTTTACGCTTTTACTAAAAATCGATATATGCGATTTCAGATTGATATGCTTCAAACAAACTTATAATATTCGTAATTGAATTAAATATAGTGCACATACAATGGCTTGGTATTTGTATTTAAAAGCGATATATATTTTATATTTTGTTATAAATTTTTTAATTCATTCTACCTTTTGAAAGACTATAATATTTTAAGATATCCGTTTAGACCGCCATTGTAAGTTTCATTAAAAACGCTGTAAAAATTGCCAACATTTAATCAAGAAGTTATTGACCTTACCGATCTTTGCCAAAAACTAATCAGCCCGATTCTCAAATGATATCTTTCGAATAGTTTTGAAATTTTAAATATCGGTTCAGAATTTTTTGCAAAAAGATCAAAATTTACACTTTCCTGTTTGTTCTAAAGAAACGGTTCGGGCCGCTTTTCTTGGAAAAGTTCACCAATGCAAGTACTTATCGAGTTTTATAAAATGGCTTTTAAATTTTTCAAATCCGGTTAGCCGTTTTTGAGAAAACGTTGACGAAAAGTCAAAAATCGGTTGTCATACTCGTACATACAAACCTACTTTTATAAAATTTGGTGTGAAAATTTAATGTGTTCAAACGTAGTTTAAAAGAATGCCTTCAATCGTAGAAAGAAAAAAAAAAGAAAATACGATATTTTCGTGAAAACATAAACCTTTTCTTCGAGAAGTTAAAAAGAAATAGCTTTTATAAATCTTTACAGCAAAGCAATTTTTTATCAAATTTTTATTTTAGGCATTCCATACAATGTGTTTGGGCTCAGACCATCGCGTCCTCGTTGGCTTATCGTTCGATAGTGCTGCTGCCGCCAAAGAGACATGGGCTCGCGTTGAACGTCTTGTCTCTGATCCAGAGAACATTCGTCTTAACGCAGGAGGACGTAAGAAGAACAAGAAAAACAAGAAGAATTCCAATACCTGCGGCAGTAGGAAGCAATTGCAGCAGCTAGAGTTGCCTAGAAGGCCTGCTTCCAAAAGCCAAATATCTATACCTTGTCAATTTCAACATGTGACCAGCGTTACAGCTGCGGATAGAGACAGGTATTTCACTTTGCAGGCTATGGTGGGTCCGCCGGACGGACAAACAACTCGCTGAAGTAATAGAATTACTTATTTTAAATAATATTTAGAGTATAATCAATATGTTTAAAATGTGTGTAATCTAATTTGGAAACTGGGAGTTGCCTTATGCAAGCAGGTTTATTGGTTTCTACGATTCTAGAGGAAATTGCAGGTGGTTCACATGCTACAAATGTTGTCAAGTATATTGAAGTTTCAATTTTCGGATAAAATAATTATATTATGGGACCGGTGTCTTTTGTTGAATAAGTGCATGAATTAATAGTTACAAATTGTCGGCAGTGTCTTTGCCGTTGAATGGAGCGTTTTATACAATATAACTGATTTTAAAACCTAAGCTTTAAATGGCACAATCGTCAGAATATAACATTAGTTCCACTTTAAGCATGTGTTATCATCATAGACCTTATACACATTATTGTGTATTATATGGTCTATGATGATTATCATATATGACAAAAAAGTTGCACTTATGATAACATTGTTTTTAATTGTTATATACGATACAATTATATAATACAATCTTATAATAACATTGCTGTTTAATGTTATGTCTTAAAAGTTGTTGAAACGCTTAATTGAACAATAAAGACATTGCTTTTTGGCAATATGTGACTACCAACTCATGTGATTATTCAACAAAAATGACCGGTAACATAACGTCAACTATTTTAACCAAGAATTGTCCCCTAAGAAACTATTGGAAATGTTACCAAATTTTGAATTATCACATATAGTGTATAAGGCTGCAATAATTTGCATTGCATCACTAAGTTAAGCATTGAAATGCTTATATTAAAATTTATATATTATATGTTAAAATTTTACCAGCTGCTCCAAATTTAGTATGCAAAACTTGTTATTAGGAAATAAATATTTTCTTATTAATTACTGTTAATCGTGTATATAGTTAATATAATAATAATAGTTAATAGTATAAGTATGTATACTTGCATATTTCCTATATACAAAATGCTGATATATTCTTCTATCACATTTAATCGATTCATATCTTTATAAGGTAAGTGTTTGGACTTATAAAAATTCAAACTTTACATTCAACAAAACAAACATTCCACTTTTTTTAACTCATTCTCAGAGATTTTCAAGTTTGATACATAGTTACTGAAATGAACTAACTATCAATACTACTTTCTCTCATTAATTTGAAAGTTAAAATCCAATTAGCTATATAAAGTCTGTACATTAAGACTTGGTTAATAGCTTAACAACTTCAGAACCATGCCCTATCAGCTGTGGAATATATTATAAATTTTAAGGAATTTTAATCATCTGTTTATAAATGAAATATGTTAATTGATAAATGTTATTTTGTATGAATTTTGACTTATAGAGTTTAATGTAAAATGTGCTATTCAGCACAATGGTGTATATAATATATATATATATATATATATATGCCATAGGATATTTAAATATAGAATTTTATCTGTGATAAGCATTTATATCAATAGGGTATATACTTTATGTAATATAATAATCACTGTATCATAAAGTAAATTCTTAATTTTTTATGATATGAAATTAGTGTAATAACCAACATAAGTAACTGATAGTAGTTATGATTACGGCTTTAACAATAAGTTTATTCCATGCAATATTTTTTCAAAACATGAGCATATCGCACATGGTATCTATCAATTATTCTTCAAGATATAATTGTCTATCTAGAATTTAACAAAGAACAGAAATTGTGCTATTTTATGTGTATTCAGTGTATTGATATTCTAAAAATAAAGTTGAATAACCTAAAGTTATGAATTTTATATCACGTTCAGATATAAAATCAGCAAATATGGATATTTGCGTTAGTTTTTGTTCTTAATTCATTTTGTTATTAATTTGACCTAATATCAGTTTTTTATTCTCGAAAACATTTTACAGATCATCTTATTTTTAAATCCTAGTTGACTTTTTGTGAATATCCGACTTTAAATTATATTTCCAAAAAAATAACAATCAAACATTTATTTTTTAAAATATTGGCTACAGTACAATAAATTAACATACATACAACTTATGTAGATACAAAAATATTAAGTTAATGATTAACTAGTTACAAAACTAAAATTTGCTATATTTAAAATGCAACAGTTTATTAAATTAAATACTTATATTATTTAGCAAGAAAAATTGTGTGCTGCCCACCGCCACTAACTGCTAGGACCTTTTTGCCATTTATATGCTTTCCGGTTAGTTTAACTGGTGTTAAAGCATCTTCTTCGGATCCAGTACCAAGTTCACCATTTCCACCCATTCCCCAAGCATAAACATCTCCATTTTCTGTGACTGCAAAAGAACTCGTCAAGCCACATGATACATCAATGCACTTAATATCTTTCAAAAGTGGAATTTCTATTATATCTTTAGCATCTTCCTTCACATCTCCAACACCCAACCTACCATATTCATGGCGCCCTAGCGCATAACACTTGCCTTCACTATCAATACCTAAAGTATGGTGAGGTCCAGCAGAAATTTTACTCCAAGTTATATTTTTCGATAATGCATTAGATTTCTTGGGAAAGTATGAAATCATAGTTTTTGTTGGTAATCCTAACTGGCAATAATTATTTAATCCAAAAACAAAGATATCAGACCCGTCATTAGGCTTCGTGAATGAACTGTAAGTCCCAGCCCAAACTTGGCCAATGTTCATTTTAAGTGATAACTTGTATTCTACCTTTTTAGGAAGCAAGAACATGGAGGATCCATTGCGTGCATAATATCTATCGCAGGATCTAGAATTAATTCTTCCAAGTTGTCCTTGTTCTGCACAACCACAGGTAAAAACGCATCCCATGTTATCTAAGAGAACCAAGTGATCTGCTCCTGAAGAGACTTTTACAAAAGGATTAGGATGGTTAACCATAATTGGCTCGCTGGATTTCAAACTATCTTCTGTTAAGCCCAAGGTACCATGTGAATCCCTAAATGTGCCCCATACATATACAAGCCCATCCTCTAATAATGCACATGAGTGACTATCGCCGGCCGATATCATAACTGCTGGGGATGGTAACTTAACAATGGCTGGCAGGCTTTCCGACTTTTCAGGGGGCCCATCAGCTTCTGTAACACGACCTAAAGCTCCTTCGTCGTTGCATCCAAAGGTATAAACTTCTCCTTTATCATTCAAAACCACACTGTGCATGCCACCAGCTGCGATAGACACTATATTTTCTAAAGTGTTGACTGGGAATGGCCTTTCTCTTTCCATAATATCAGGACCTAAACCGAGTTGCCCCACGTCGCCTTGTCCACAAACTAAAACTGTGCCAGCAGTGGTAGGTCTAGAAGGCTGTGATAATGGCTGAATTGATTTTCGCTTCTTACTTTGTTCAGTATCATCTTTAGTTTGTTTGCGTTTCACTGGTTTCTTCATAATGGATACTGTGTAAATGAAATTTAACTTTATTTTAATTTTGTACTCTAAATGATTTTACTTATCAGAATATAATTCAAGTTAATGAAAAGTGAGGTTATGTATAAACGGAAAACACCTATATATCATCAAGTTGAGAAGAATTAACATACCAAAATTAAAAAGACTGCGTCAGGAACCAAGAAGATGTAACAACAATAATTTAACAATTAACAGTTTAGAAAACTTTAAAAAAACTAATATAAAAAATATAATAACCTAAAATTATAAAACGCGAGAAGATAACGACCACACACTGAACAGATGTTGATTGAACACTGAACAGGGAGACGTTTGACAGATGAAAGAACTAAAACTAACCTAGGAAAAAACCCGCGAAAATGTTATAAGAATAAGCATTTATATCCAACTTAATCGCTTAATATTAGTATAAATCTTAATTCAACGTCGAAATATTAGATTATGAGTAATTTTAATTAACTTCGACAGCAACGAATTTAAAAAAATAAAATACAGCAAAATGACAATTACCAATATTACTACAAGATGTTTGCCGGTTCACAAATTAAATGTCAATCATAATCATATATAACTTAGTGTCGATAAATACCTATTCACTTATTTAAGAACACATTATATACTTACTTTAATTTAAACTTATGTTTGATAAAAGTAAGGTGCCCGTTATGCTAGGCGTATTTTATTATTAATATGCTGGCAATTGTATAAGCCGCCATTACTATTGTACCAACTTCATGGCATTAGAGACCGACAGTTGGCAGAGGGTCAACAGTACGTGCAAGAAGTTCCTAGGGTTAATAATAAATTTCCAGTGAAGTAGTCAACTACTAATAATTGTCAATTGTCAATTCTGAAAAATACACGTTTCATATCCAAAGTACAGTTTATAGTTACAGCCAATCAATTAGGATTAAGAGTAACGTACCGGCATAACAGAAAAATAAAACATGGTAATATTTTTTATTTATTTTTTCTTGAATTTTTGTTCTAGTTACACATTGCTATTGTTAAATCATTTAACTTAAATGTTGTCATCAAAGTCTAAATATCAAATACTTTATTTCGATATTTATTTTTTCGTATCAAAACTATTTGTGCCTTGTGGTTTCAAAATAATTATAATCCCAGTAAGATCATTGTGGGTTGTGACATAGAATGGAAATATATACAGTCTACCCTCCTATAACGCGTACTTTCTAATATGAAAACCTCGCTATAAGAGTCGGCTTTAACGGCTTTAACGTACAAACTTGGCTAATCGTAAAGCGTTTTTAGAAAACCGGTTCTCACGTTGTATGAAAACGTGTTGTAACAAAATCAGAATTAGAACTAGTGGTGCATGGCATCGTGCCTTGAGGCCGTATTGTCGTATTTTTCCGAACCAAAAATTATTTTTTTTTAAATAGATTTTTGAAATTTTTAAAATTTTTGAAGAAAATGACTTTTTTGAAAAATTTGCTTTTTTTCGTATTTAGAAATATTTTGGAAATCTTGAACTGTTTTTTAAAGTAATCGCGATACGTTAGCTGCGTAGAAACGAATTATCGAAACGCATGGGTGCCGCGTCGCAGTATAACGGATAAACATTGGTACGGAACCCATAGAAATGTAAACAAAAGTTCTTATTATTGTTTTTATTCATTTTGGCGCTTTTTGCCCCGTATCTTCGGAAAGACTGAACCTGCCTTTACCAAAAACTAATTAGCACGCCTTCTTATCAATAGGAATCGAATGTTTTTTTAAATCATTCAAATTGGTGATCAGTGTTTCCGAAACCGTCGACGAAAATTTGTATCCGCACACACGCACGCACACATACACACGCATACACACATAAATCCATTTTTTCTAAGGTTTGCCAAAATGGTCAGAAACCTTTGAAACGTAAAGATATATAAAAATTTTCATTTTAGATTTTTTGCGATTACTATAACTTACCCTACGGGAAGTTAACAAGTCATATCGCTGTATCGCGTTATAACGAGACCAATAAATACAAAAGACTTGATAAATTTTAATCTTTTTTTTATTGAATTCAAGAGTTTATAGAAATTGTTCAAAAATTTCAAGCATAATTTAAAAGATTTAAGATTTGCGAAAGATCTCTGACACTACTATAACAGATGCCATACGCAGCTATTATATAAACATAATTTGAACCTAACATATGAATAACTATATATAGATTGTGTAAGATATTATAGTCCATAAACAAAATTTATTTTAAAGCCTTTTAAAACATTATTATCTTGTTACTAATAACAAATTAATCAGTTTTATTAGTGTTATTGATTTTAATATATGTATATGTAAAATTTACAGTGGTTTTAAACAGTTTTTGCACCGCGCCCCTTGCTCTAATAATAAAAAAAATTGTTGCGCCCCCACTTGATTTTTTCAACAGTTTAATTTTATAAATACTCAATTGATATTATCAGACTACAAATTAATATGCAATATTAAGCATAAAATCTAATTATTTATTGTTTATTTTTTAATATTATTTCAAAAATGTTGGGTTAGTTTCGATACTAGTATTCTGGAAACAGATGTACGCGCCCCTCTTAGAACAGCCTGGCTCCCCTGTTTATTTTCATTTTGACTATTATTTATCTTGGGTCAAAAAGATATGTTACAGCTAATTAAATAAATAAATAATGTTTTTTCCAAATACTCCCTTTTTGATTCAAGATTATTATAGTCAATAATTAAAAAGCATTTGAGAAAAAAACATTACTGATTATTCATTTAATTAGCTGTAACATATCTTTGAACAGATATAAATGATAGTCAAAATGAAAATAAACAGGGTACATATATAAGTTGAATGAGTTTCTCGATACATAAAACGTTTTTGTTTAATCATTTTGTTATAAAGAAATTGCTCGGCACGATTGCCAAATGTATGGTTTTTAAATTTTCATAATCGGTTCAGGATTTAAAAATTTAATAATTTAATTCGTCGCGCTCTAATCAACTCGAGTCCTTGTTGGGTTTTATCAAATGGCATTCATTTTGGAAATTGTTTTTTGAGAGAACACAGACGAAGGTTGAAAAATTGAGTCATATTGTTCCAAATTTGCGCTAGAAGAAATTGAGAATAAACCCAAAATTAACAAGTCGATTTTTTTTGGCAAAAACATTTTGAAAAGCGAATTTTTCTTTGGAAAATTAATAATAACGTTTTCTAATCATGTATTTTTCAGAAACATATGCTTCCACTTCAAATGATCATTGCATTTTAAGTAACCCATTCTACATAATTTTATAAATTGAATTCTTATTTTCTCACTATAACTGTCGTATCACCGTAATACTGAAATTAATGCCCATGATTTGAGAAGATAATTAATTGAATGCTGATTAAATATACATTTGTAGCAATACTTCTACAACTTATTTTCACTTATTTAATTTGAGTTCTGCTTGATATCAAGCTGGCCAAAGAGTATCGAAAGCGAAACCAGTGATCGCTAGACCAGTTTCCTACTTAGTGATGTACATGCTCTACCAATAATGTATAATTAGATTATAATTCATCATTTAGGTTATAACTTTTCAAACTTCGGTATTTTTTTACTACTGCTAACTGCTGCTGACTTCTAGTTATATCACTGAGCAAAAAACGAATGTCACTTTTCCCACTGATTAGATTGTTTTTACATGACTTCATTTAGAAATATTACTAAATTAAGGGGCACAACTAGTGTAACCGCCGAAAAAAAGGTGATTTTTGGGAATTTATATTAAAAAAAACTACTTTATCAATCATTTTAAAATTTTAGAAATATATTTATACATGTTTTAAGAATACATAGTAAAATTTTTGAAAAAAAAATTTAAATATTTTTTAAGTTATCGTCGATCTCCAACGGCACGACAAAAAAAAGGCCCTTAACTGCTGCAGTGATTCCGGCCTTCTACGTGGATGAAATAAAAAAAAAAATATTTGCGTTAAACTAGATAATATTGTCTGTAAAATGAACTACGATAAAAAAAATAAATCAAAAATTGACAAAATGGCGGCGTTTTAAAAAAAAAAGTCGAATTTTACCCAAAATTTTGGTCGTTTTTCGACTGCAAAATTTCAAATTTTGATTCGATCGAAAAATCGATAGTTCATTTTACAGAGAACTATACAGAATATGTAAAAAAAATGATAGTGATCGAATTATTCGTTTTTGAGTAATCACTGCAGCAAATTCGGAAAATGCTGTTTCGAGAAAAACGCGTTTCGAGATAAAATTATCGTTGTACTATATACTATATGTAGACTTTTTAAATGGCTGTAACTCAAAAACTATTTGAGATATCGATTTGAAATTTGAATATGTTATTTTTAAAGGTGTAATCTACCGAAATATGAAAACCGAAACAAAAATCGTTTTTTTTCAAAATCTCACACTAGTTGTGCCCCTTAAAAGCATGATAAATTCGGCATCGATTATAATAATGTATATAGACGTAATCCTACCTATAACGAATAACTAGATAACTAATCATTTGGGTTATAACTTTTCAAAATTCGGGTATTTTCTCCCACTGCCAACTGCTGCTTACTTCTATCACTGAGCAAAAAACGAATGTCACTATTCCTACTGCACTAGATTGATTTTACATGGCTTCATTTAGCAATATTACTAAAATAAACGTATGATAAATTCGGCATCGATTATATTAATGTATATAGCCGTCAGTTTTAATTCACTTTAACCGGCTCATTATCCTGACTTTTGATGGTGTCCGTCACTCGGCAACTCGTGTGCATCTCCGAATGCGTTGTCATAAAATCAGGTCCATTAATAATAACAGCGCGAAGATCATACAAATAGCCTATTTGACCTCAAACCTCAATGAATCCGCCGGTGTCGGTTAAAATCCGATGAACGGATGGTGAAAGTGGTTTCAATTTCCCACAACGGCCCGATGATACGTCTCGATATTATTTTGTTTGATATGATGAAACATTATCCGAACTTGCGTTGATAGTTTGTTGCACGGATCGGCCGACGGCTTGGTCAGGGCCGAAGGGAATCTTCATTGCATTCTTCTTGGGATGCCATTACAAACCTCGTTAAGAAGATTGTATTTCAAAATTCTTTCGTTACTGCATAAGTACATTTAATTCAAATTGCATCTAGAATCTTTAAATTAGGCATGGTTTTACTCTCGAGGTATTTTCTATATTTATGAGTACGATAAAAGTTAGAATCTACTCATAAGCTAGTCACCGGGTACCCGAATTCAAACTTTAACTTAGATTTCAAAATTGTTTTGAATTGTTTTTTTTAATGTTATCAATACCAATTATTAGATCATAATTGTTAACTTCTTGAAG